GATTGTGCAGGGCTTCCCACCATCGCTGCTGCTGCACAGGCTGCCAGAATTAACCTGCCATGTGCCAGTAGCCAGGGGAAGGAATGCCTATTTTTGCACAAATATTCATGCATCAGGCTTCTAGTATATCTAAAAGCCTAGTATGTAAAGTATTCCCTCAGGAGTTTGACAGACTTGGAGTTTGATTGCTAACTACGATGTGTGCTGACCATCAGGGAGTGGCACGGAATGAAAGAAGGCCCCAGCTGGCGGCTAGCAGCCGATAGGGACCCTACCCATGCATGAGTTTTGTGCACTGGCCTCTAGTGTAATGATAAGGACCACAGATAATGTATGATAAATATGTAGGTAGATACCGTGTTTCCCCGAAAATAAAACATCCTCCGAAAATAAGACCTACTTACATGTTTCTGAGTGAAATATAAGGCATCCCCCTGAAAATAAGGCCCCCCCAGGCTCTGTCTCAGAATGAAAATTAATTTACCGTAAACTGGTCGCTAGGGCTACCCCGACTGGCGTCTAGCAACCAGTGACATTACTCAGAGTCCTGTGTGGAGGCAGAGCAGAGGTCAGAGTGAGCAGTGAATGCGGGGCAGGAGAGAGGAGGAGACTTTCGCAGATGCGTGTAGAACAGGAGGATTAGAGCCAACAGGATGCGGCAAAGATGGTCAGTGCTGGTCTGTCTCTGGTGACACTACCTATGCTCACAGCCACCCTCATGATGACTGAAGGTTCTCAGTCAGTGGTAGACCCTGCTCCAGCCCAGATCCAGGCCCCAGCAAGCCCAGTGACAGTCCCCAGGCAGGCCCCAGGGGGTAAATGTCTGATAAAGGGGTAGGGGTATATCTGGTGAAGGTGTTCAGTGGCACAGGTTTGCAGGGAGGGTGATCACTTAAAATGACACAGGAGGATCAGAGGGGACAATCAAAATGACACAGGAGGATCAAAAATGGTAATCCCACTCTGATTCTCCTGTGCCATTTTGATTCTCCCCTCTGATCCCCCCTGTGTCATTTTAAGTGATCCCCCTCCCCCCACCTTGATACCCCAATTCCGTTTTTTTACCCCTAGAAATGAGCGCAAAAAGAAAAAGCTTCTCCGTGGAGTACAAGAAAGGAATCGTGGAAGACTTGGGGCCAAAATCTTAGTGCTTTCTGCAAAGAGATGTTGAGCATTCGATTGGTCCAAAAATGGCAAGCAGAGTATGGTAACCTCATTGAACAAGTGGACAAGGGAAATGCTAAAAAGTGCAAGTGTGGATCAGGTCGGCAACCATTAGTTTCCTAACTGGAAAACCTGATCTGTGAATGGGTTGTTGACAGGAGAGCAAAGGCTTTGGTTGTGAATAGGGCTCAGATTCAAGAATTTGCCCTTGCAATGGCACCACAGTTTGACATAGCCCCCGAAGACTTCAAAGCATCACAATACTGGCTGGATAATTTCCTTCAGCGAAGTGAACTGTCTTTAAGAAAATCTACCATCAACCGAAGGACTTGTATACATGCGTATAAGTACAACCAATGGACATAAAACTCTGGGGAGGGAGTGTATGTATGGGAAAGAGGGAGGGGGGCAAAAAATATCAATAAAATATATTTAAAAAAAAAAAAAAAAGATCTACCGGTACAACATTGTTTAGGTTGGAAGATACTCAAGTTATTAAGTGAGCACTTGCATTCAAGTCCTTTATTGTTTATGCTGACTTCTCTAAATACAGTCTTTCCAACATGATTGCTATGGATGAAACTGCAGTGTTTATGGGCCAATCATCTCAAACAACAATTGAACAGCAGGGTGCCTCCTTAGTGTACATTCCCTCCACTGCTTACGAAAGTGCACATGTTTCCTGTATTTTGGCAATTCGTCTGGATGGCACTAAAATCCCACCTTTAATCATTTCTAAGGTCAAGAAGGAAAAGATTGAACATGTTTTGGGCGTTTTTATTCTTGAAACTGAAAAAGCCTGGGCCACACAAGCAGCTATCAGGAAGTGGGTCGATTTAATGCTGCCGCTTGGTATGCGAGGGAGCCAAAGAGGTCTGCTAGTCTGGATGCAGCCAGCCTCACCGCGCTAAAGACATGAAAACGTTTCTTCACGGGGGGGAGGGGGAGATCAGACAATGATTTCCACAGGAATGACAGCCAATCTCCACTCTTGATATTGCAATAAACAAGCCATTCAAAGACAATTTGCGCGTGGAAATTAATGACTACTTTGAAAATAGAATGGAGAGAAATCAGCATGGAAACTTTGTGAAACCTAAACTGCAAGAAGTTGTGACTTGGGTGAAGAATTCATGGGAGAAAATCACTGATAGTTGCGTTGCAAATGCACTGCAAGCAGGCTACCTTGACAAGAAGTACTCATTTAAAGACAGTGCTATTGCTAAACATGAGAGATTTGGTCCGCTGATTCTGAAAGAAATGGAGTCACAAGAAATTCACCAGGAAATTCAGGAATTGGATTGTTATGATGATGTTCCAGAAGATGATGACATGATTGTTATTGAATAAATGAGTAAATTCTTGATACTGTAGGATTCACAGTGTGTCTGGTTTGTATTGACAACTACCATACTACCATACCGTATACAGGTAATAAATTTCCTTTATTTTCATTTAACAATAAATGTGTACCATATTCTTCTTCATGGAAAAATAAGACATCCCCTGAAAATAAGACCTAGCGCATCTTTGGGAGCAAAAATTAATATAAGACACTGTCTTATTTTCGGGGAAACAGGGTAGATAGGCAGATAGATAAAATTTGGTACTGGCCTGACAAAAGTAGGGACTCAAGTGCTGCTGCTTACACTATTACCACTAATGTTAGTGCTCTTTCTGCTGCTATTCCCACTGTTATTGCTATCATTGCTGTCACTATTACCACTGCTCAAAGGAGACCCTGGAAACTACACAGCAGTGGAATCTTCTCATTGACAGTTTTTATGGCAATCCATCAGCACTGTGGTTAATCCATAACTTTGGCTTATAGTTCCCAGATCTTGCAATATATTCCTCCAAACTTCTGGATGGATTGCATTTTATCACGGTGCTTCAATTACATGTGTTAGAAGTCTCTGAAGTTGTAAATGAGTCTAGTCCTGGCTTTTCCTGTCTAAAGACTATGAAACAACACTGCCTTGCTGAAAATTAGTACAAAATCAAATCTTCTTTGGAGGGAAGTATTCCTTCTGCGTCTAGAGGACCCCTTCTTTACTTTTTAGTAATTATTACCAGGAATTCATTTTCAGAAATCTTGGTCACTTATCCAATACTATGAATTTTATGAAAAGTATAATTGTAAATACCAACAATAAAGTGGCCTTGCTTTTTGTAGGATTTCATAACATTAGAATAGAAGGAATGTTTTAAGTTGTACACATTTATTTTTCCTAATAAAATGTTCACAATATAATGGTATATTTCTCTCTAGAAAATCTTCAGAGTCTCAGAGCATGAGAATCCTTAAATAAATTAGTAAATATATTAAGCTTAGAAAACTAGGCTATTTAACCAATTGTCTGTGTCTGTTGATTAAATCAAATGCACTAAAGACCACAATTTGAAGGAATTTTTAAAAGTTAATTTAGTTCTCTTATGACTTTCAAGTGGCTTTATGGCGAAATTACCTCAGTTCTGAATAATTTAAAAGAAAAATATATTCAACATAGCTTTATTTTTAAAACTGAATGATCAGCCGAAACCGGTTTGGCTCAGCGGTAGAGTGTCAGCCTACGGACTGAAAGGTCCCGGGTTCGATTCCGGTCAAGGGTATGTACCTTGGTTGCGGGCACATCCCCAGTGGGGGGTGTGCAAGAGGCAGCTGGTCGATGTTTCTCTCTCATTAATGTTTCTAACTCTCTATCTCTCTCTCTTCCTCTCTGTACGAAAATCAATAAAATATATTAAAAACACACACACACACACACAACTGAATGATCAGAAAAAACGTGAATGGTCTTCTGTATGTATTTCTTCCTGGTGTCCTCCTAGGAGGACGGTTTGCTCCTCAGGGGCCAATCCCCAGGTTCAGCCTGCATCTGAGCTAATAATGATTTTATCAACTTAAGTCCTCACATCTAGCATCAGCTGCCAGCAAACCTGCTACTTAGTCCTGAATGCAGCAGAGGTGGAGCACTTAGTTTCAAGCCCAAGAGTACATCCTCCTCTCAAGCTTGAGATAATTAGAGAAAACTAAGTTAACATTGTGGTCCTAGCTCTCCAGTTAGACCTGAATTATGTCTGCTTTAACACTGGCCGGCGGTATGACCATAGGCAAGCTGTTGTGATCATTCTGTGCCTCAGAGGTTATTATGAGGAGTAAGCATGATAGATAGTCCATCATAAGCATATAACAGAGGACATAGCAGTGCATAATCAACAATAAATGTGAGCTGCCTTTCAGCGTCATTACTTCAGTTGGAGGTATAGAGGTTGAAAACTAGACTAGGTCTGATATCCTCCCATTCTAATGATCTCCCTGGAAGGACAAGCAGGACCCAAATACCTGGGGGTACCCCCTTCCCTTTATCTGAAGCATTGAGGGTTCCACCTGGTATTGGAGGGTAAGCATCAAGCAGCCCAGCTTTTGTATCCCTGCTTTCACCTGATACTTTAAAAGTAAATGTGGCCGGGACCGGTTTGGCTCAGTGGATAGAGCGTCGGTCTGTGGACTGAAAAGTCCCAAGTTCGATTCTGGTCAAAGGCATGTACCTTGGTTGCGGGCACATCCCCAGTGGGGGGTGTGCAAGAGGCAGCTGATTGATGATTCTCTCACATCAATGTTTCTAACTCTCTATCCCTCTCTCTTCCTCTCTGTGAAAAATCAATTAAAAATATTTAAAATAAATAAATAAATAAAAGTAAATGTGGGCAGGAGGTTTGAAACTCAGCTTTAATTGAGGCTGCAGCTGTTGTGTGCCAAAGTAGAGTTGGGGCCCAGCATACCCTCCTCCCCCCGGGCTGGGCCCTGCCCTACCCTCGCCCTCCAGATTGAGATGGGCTTAGCCAAGAATGTTCCAGTCACTCTGGTGCTGCCTTTACTACACAACAAGCTTCTGGCTCGAGTGGCGGACCCGAGTTCACCCAGTGCCGGCATTATGCGCACTCCCATCCAGAGCTCTCCACAGCCAAACCTAGCACCTCTAGCATCAGGAGAACAGCTGGAGGATCCTAACCAGGCCCAGGACTCAGATCCCCGCTCTCCTACCCTTGGCATTGCACGGGCACCTATGAAGATCAGCAGCGGAGAGCTCACAACCCTACTGGTGAAAGAGCTGAGTGAAGAATTTGAGGCAGAAGCCCCCAAATCAAATCTTCCCCCAGAGCCTGTTCTAGAGATACCTTCATCTTCTGACGTGGACTTGCCTCTGGGCACCCAGTGTTCCCTTGAGGACCAGATGCCTCATGGGAGCCAGACTGAGCTCCCCTCCAAGCAGCTGTTTTCTGAGGAAGAAAACAGCCCATGAGAGACCCTGAGATGCCTAGATCTTCAAGTTCTAAGCGAAATAGACGGAAACCAAGGGCAAGGCACTAGGGATATCGCCCCTCACCATCCCGCAGGATGACTACTCCCCTGGGACTCTGACACTACGACAGGTAAAGGGAGAGGGGTAAGCGGCCTTCTTCCCTGAGTGAAAATGTCAGGGAAGGGGCCATTCTGGGAACTGGATGACTTCTGAGAAGCAGAGGACAAGCATGGGAGCAAGGTCAGGACTGTGACTAGGATAACCAGCACTTTGCGTTGGTAGAGAACTAGGCCAGGGGTGGCCCCAACCCTGGGTTCACCAGGGTCTAGCGATATTCCGAGTCCTCCCGCCCCTTCTTTTCCTGGGAGACTGGAAAGACTCATTTTCTTCGACTCTCCCTAAACTACCAGCTCTGGAACTGATAGCTTTCTTTGTGTATTATGTGTTTCTTGTATATTAAAGGAAGTGATTTAAAAAAAAAAAAGTAAATGTGGTGAGTTACAGTACATACTTTATCACTGGGGAAGGGGTTAAATACCAACCACAGAGTCAGTTCAGGCCATGAGGTCCTTCTCTCTAATTCAACTGCTTCATGGCTTGGAATCTTCCTTTACCCACAGAGGTCTCTCTTAAGACTCCAGGGCTGCTTACCTACCCAGCTTCAAAATCTACCTCCCTGGGCAGGTGAAGTGCTTCTCAATATCCCCTTCCCTCCCTGCTGCCCTGTTCACAGATTGCCCTTGGGAGAGAGAGTAAAGCCCCAGTGATTGGACATCAATAGCTTATAAGAAGAGTAGCCTTTAACGAGATTTATCCTCAACACATTTTAAGTTCTTTTTTTTTTAGTATTGTAATATATTTTTTTTAATTTCAACATAAATACAATTTATAAATATAGTAAATAAAAATTTATGTATAATATTATTTTATTCTTTGGCATATTTCTCATCATTTTAAGTTCTTATCATAAAAAGAAGGGGGTGGCCCTGGCTGATGTGGCTCAATTAGGCATTGTCTTCTGTACTGAAGGGTTGCCAGTTCAATTCCTGGTCAGGGCACATGCCCAGGTTGCAGGCTCGATCCCCTGTAGGGGGCGTGCAAGAGGCTCCCAATTGATGTTATTCTCTCACATTGGTGTTTCTCTCTCTCTCTTTCTCCTTCTCTCTCTCTCTCTCAAAAAAAAATAAATTTAAAGATCTTTTCCAAAAAGGGGGTGGTATAAAAAAATGTTTGGAAGTGATGGATACTGGTATGTTTATAATCCTGATTGTGGTGATGGTTTCACAGGTGTATGCATATGTGCAAACTCATCAAACTGTATACATTAAGTATGTTCACTTTTTATATATTACTTATACCTCAATAAAGAGATTTGGTTTTGGAGTAGTAACCCTTCTAATTCCAGGTGTCTAAATGCCCAGACTGGGACAGGATTAGCTCCTTCTGTATGGCCTTCCATCCCAGGAAATGGTCAGTACAAGTCAGAAAAACTCCTACTGGGAAACACCCTTTTCTACCGGCAGAGGGCGCACAGCAGACATGCAATCTATTGAATTACCAATCTTGTGTCTAGTGTCCAGAGTTGTCCTCGCAGCGTAGAGGTGTTTATATTCTGCTTAGTTCTTCGCTTGTCTCTCATGGTTAAGAGACTCTTGCTTACTAGTTTTTAGATGAATGGCCTAAGACATTTGGCGTGACTGGAAGGAACAGTTTTATTTCTCTAAAAAGTATCTGCCTTACCAGGCTGGGGTTTCATAGTTTCCTAGACCGCTAGTTTTGAAACTGTGGCTCAGGAATGGTAGTTTCTTATTTTTTAATTTTTAAAAATGTATTGGCTTGAGATAGGGGCAGAGAAAGAGGGGGTGGAGACATAGAGACAGAGACAGACCTGGGGGTACATTATAATCAACTATGAACATTTTAAAAATACAAATTCTTGGGCCCTGCCCCCAGATCTAGTATATAGTAGATCAGAGTGTTCAGGGCTCATGCTCCAGAAATCTGTACTGTATTTTTTAAAATATATTTTATTGATTTTTTTTTTTTTTTTTTTTTTTACAGAGTGGAAGAGAGAGGATAGAGAGTTAGAAACATCAATGAGAGAGAATCATCGATCAGCTGCCTCCTGCACACTCCCTACTGGGGATATGCCCACAACCAAGGTACATGCCCTTGACCAGAATCGAACCCAGGACCTTTCAGTCCACAGGCCGACGCTCTATCTACTGAGCCAAACCGGTTTTCGGCTGTACTTTAACAAGTTGCCAACTGACTTCATGCTGTCGGCTGTGAATCAGCATTGGGGAACTACTTACCTAGGGGAATCCCTGGGACCCCTATCTCAGTCCTGCTACTCCAGTGCCTGCCCTTAGGGGCATTGACAACCAAGGAGACTTGGAGTCAGAACAAGGTTTGAAACCAGGGAAGCCTAGGCCATTCCTTCCATAGAAAGCAAGACCCCTCCTAGTGAGGGAATGAAGGACAGTGAGTGGAAGGAGATCTCTAAGCTAAGGCAGCAACTCTGTCCCCTCAGGTGTTACAGGAGAATAGCTGCCCTCTTTTTACATCTGCCACTCAAAGTTGCTGGAGAAGCTGAGCCTTGCTATTGAGGGGGCTCTCAGCAGGTCTCCACATTCTCCATCCTCACCCCACACATACTCAGGATGGGCTGCAATCAACTTCAATGCGGGGTGGGCTTCTCCAGCTGTTCTGGGCTGTGTCTCCCTCCCAGGCACTGCTCTAGCTGGTGGTGCTCAGAATAGCATCTGGTTTTGGGCTCACTAACTAAAGGATCCTGCTAAGATAGTTCTCAGCTGCACTGAGTTTGGCCAGAGCAAGTCCACAGTCTGAATCTGGGAACCTGAGCAAATGCACAGGTACTAAGGGGTAGGGGGGACAATGACAAGATCCTATAGCCCCTAAGGCTGAGCAGCAGAGTCTGCTGGCTGTATGGTTCCCAGCTATTGTCCAAGGCAAGGACATTTTAGGAACTCCTTTGGTCTAGAGCTGTCACTTCTGTCAGCCACTTGGGCTTCTTGTAGGTATCTGGTCAGGGACATCCCATTTGAGGAGGAATGTCCCAGTCTTGCATATTGAATGTCATACTCACCTAACCAATGGGTCAGAGGAACTAGTTTGAGTCAACCTGTAATCCCTTAAAGGGTCCTACAACTTAGAACTAGCTGGAAAGACAGGACGATATCATACAAAGAACCTAGTCGTGTAGTAAGACAGATCTTGCTTCATCAATTACTACCCTGGACAAGCCATTAAATCTTTCAGTGCATCCATATTCCTATCTGTAAAATGGAAATCATCATTCCTACCTAATGGGGTCGAAGAAGCATTAAATGAGCTAGTGAACAAATGTAACATGTTTTAGCACTGGGCCTGGCACATAATAGGCATTTAATTGTTAGTAGTCATTTATCCGGGTCCTGTCTCTGTAGCACCAATGAAGACTCAAGGATACAGGTCTGTAAAGAGAAGAGGAGCTATAGACAAGAGCTTTTGGCCAACATGGATTCTTCCAGAGACCTAACGAAGCTGAATGAGGAACCCGGAAGCACCCTGATTCCCTTGAATACCCTTACCCCTCACCACCTTCATAGCATCAAGGGTGTCATGGTTCTCTGGTCTCAGGAGTTCCTTTCCTCTGGGTGCACCCTGGGTACAGCCCATTCCCAAATCCTCTTGCTCAATCTGAGGGGGGCCTGAATGCCACTGTGTGGGTAAATAGCAGGATGTTCTGGGGCAGGGAGACTGAGAAGAGCCCTGAGATTCTTGGGATCCCTGGGGCCACAGTGGGGAGTCCTGGGGCCTCTTGGCTATCCCCAGGCACCTGAGGAAGAATACTGTCATACTGCAGGAAAATACAGGTTCAAGAGAATAGAAGCAGGTAAGATTGGTGGGTGCCCGCTATTACCAGAGCCTTGGCAGGACCAAAGGTAAAAATCTGAGAGAAGTTTTCAGAATCTATTTTTTAAGGTAAGGAACAGCCAGCTTGGAAGTTGCACCCTTGCAGCCCACATACAGGAGACACCCAGGAAGGGGTGTGTATTTCTCTTGGAGATGCTATGAGAAGTAGAGGCATTACCCTCTTGCAGGTCAGCAAGCGAACTGAATATTTCCCAAGACTACTGAGTCTAGTTGATACTTAAACCTTGCACTGGCTTCTCACTGCATTTAAATAAAACCCAAACCTGGCATTACCTACTTCTTTGCCTAATCTTCCACATTCTCTCCCTTTCTTGCTCAGCCACCCTAGTGTTCTTTCTGTTCCTCAAATGCACCAAGGTCTGCCTCAGGACCTTGGCATCTACTGTTTCCTTTGGGGTTCTCTTCTCCCTGACTTCACAGTTGGTTGCTTTTCTTCATTCAGGCCTCAGTTTAAATGTTATCTCTTCAGAGATGCTTTTTGTGACCACTCTACTTAATATGTAGCCCTCCTTCTTCATTCTCTAATTACCATTATGGCCCTTAGAGTCCTTATTACCCTCTCAAATTATCTCATTTATGTGTCTCAATTCTGATTTAGTATCTGTCTCCTTGAAGAAAGCAGGACTTTATTTTGTTGACTTAAGTACCCCTAGGGCTTAGAACAGTGGCACATAGTAAGTGCCCAGTATATGTTTGCTGAAAGATGTCAGAGGTCATTCAGGTCTAGAAGTGACAGTCCTGGTTAGAGGACTTGAAATGTTGTCATCTTGACCTTGTCACAGCACAAAGGTGCCCTGTCCAAGACAGGCCAGAACCCAGACTGAAATGTATCCATTAGAACGGACAAGTATACATTCAGCCCCTGAGAGGTGGCCTAGCTCTGCAGGCAGGTCATAAGAGCCAAGTAACACAACAACGGGAGTTCGTGTCCTGGGCAAGGAATCAGCATCTAAATTCTGAGACAAGTCCCTAGTGTATTCCGTGGGGAGAAGTATAGCTGTGAGGGTTTCAGCAGACAGTTCACCAACAGACAGTCCAGCCCCTTGGGTGAGATTCAGGGGCCGGGCATTAAGGGGACAACTAGGAAGAAAATAACCCTCACTGAGATACTAAGAAGACCCCAAAGACTGGGATCCAGGCACAAGCCAAGTAATGAGAACCAGCCTGGGGGCTAGGCTGAGATCGAAGCTGGATGGAGATGAAAGTGGGATGGGGAATTAGCCATATAGGAGAAAGAGAATTGTAGGGACAATCATTCTGGAAAGACCAAACAGGCTATTTGTTTGGGTGGGAAGTGCATCTGGGATGTACCTACTCTTTGCTGGCAAGGGGCAAGGGGCAGACCTGCCTTCACCTACCAAAGAAATCACCTACCAGAGAAACGTGCTAAGGGGCTGCCTAGGATTCTCTCTCCACAGGCTTCTGACAACAGAGACACATTAAGGAGCATCCCCCCATGTAAAGAGATCCACCCGAAGCTATTATAGAAATGCCTTTATAGCCATTTAGGTATTCTAACAAGTGGACAAGGGACTTTCACATACCTAGGACCAGCCATATAAAAAATTCCTACAGGACTTCTACTGTAGTCACCACCTCCCCCCACCCCTCGGCTTAAAAGGCAACAAACTATCCGGCTTGATGTGCAGGCCTCCCCACGCTGGGCTCTCCCACTAAGATTGCTCAGCTGTCAGTGAGCCACACTCCTAGTTCAACCCCCAAGTTCATTATTGCTTCCTGACTTTTGCCCATTCCTCACCTCTTTACCAATCCAAACGTTACGCTTTATTCAACATAGAAAATAAGTACGATTCTTTTTCAGTGGCCCCACTAATGTTGAGTACATAACACTCTAAATTCCCATAACACAACCATGCCCTTGGTGATAGAGTTGTCTAATTTTCGTTCCCAAGTAGTTTCAGTATGTACAATGTTCCCACAACTAGATCAAAGTGTCTTTGAACGTAGGGGATGAATCCTCCTCTTGTTATGTTTGCTCCATAGCACACAGCAAAGATCTGGGGGCATAATAGACATTTGTTTGCTTGAGCCCTGTCTTCTCTAAGAAAGGGGGGAAGAAACACTTTTGGTGTTAGAGACTGCTTAGTAGAACGTGGGAAGAAGACCCTAATTACTTTGGAAGCAGCTGTGCCCATAAAAAGTACCTATACTTTTTATTTTTAAACTTTGGGAAATAAGGAGAGAGCAGCCTCCCCTAGGGAACCTAGGAAATACTGGTGAGTAAACATTTTTCAAGTCTTATATATCCTGCTGCCTGCACTGGCACTCAAGAAACCATATCTGGGCTGTATACCACCCCTTCTGGGTGTTTCTGTCCACTGATGACACTCAGTGAGACAATGAATTAGTTCTGAAGAAGTGACTCAGACGATGAGATCTTCAGGCAGCATAGAAGGCTGCTAGGGAGTATGCCTTGGCACAGACATACTATTCCAGTGGGGCAAGCTGCCTCTTCTACTCATCACAATCAGAAATGTCTTCTCAGAGGAAAGCAAGACATGAAGACATGTGATAATCTATACAAATTTTATTTTAATATCAATTTCTATGGAAACAAGCAGGTGTCAGCGTTATGCAGACACGGAAAAAAGGGAAAGAAAAAACTAGTGATGACTGATCTTGTATTTACATTATTTGGTTTCAACAGGGACAGGAAGTTTTGCTGTTAGCCTCATGTGGGAACTCCAGTTTCTGCACCTTCCCCTGCTGCCTCTCAGCATCACGATAGAGCAGTGATTTCTGTGCCTTCAATCGGCAAGCCAGGCACATGAAAATTGACTCCACATTCTGGCTCTCTTTGGGGTCCTTGGCCGATGTCTCAAACAAGAGCATGTTGTGGGCATCGGCAAATTTCAGGGCTAAATTGGAGGGCACCTGGATCTGTTCCCTCAAGTCACACTTGTTGCCCACAAGCACTTTCGGTACTAGCGGGGGCACAGCATGCCCATTGCATTCTTGGATCCACATTTTGAGGTTGGTGAAGGATGTCATCTTGGTGACGTCATAGACAAACACCACTGCATGCACATTGCGGTAGTAATGCTCGACCATGCTTTTGCGGAAGCGTTCCTGACCTGCTGTGTCCCACACTTGAACCTGAAAGGTATAAAAACCCATGTTTGGAGTCAGGAAAGGAAACATTGAATAGACAGGAGAAAACATGGTTCTGTGACATTATAGAGCTGAGGTGACAAGCCCTAACACTGAAAGTAGTTCTTTGACAGATTGGCAGGATGGACTTATGAAAGTACTAGAGGCCCAGTGCATGAAATTCATGCACAGGTAGGGTCCCTAGGCCTGGCCTGCGATCAGGGCTGATCAGTTTCCCCTCCTTTACACCTCCCCACCTCTCCACTTCCTCTTTTCCTTGCTCCCTCAGTGCCCCACCCCACTGCCACTGCTGGTTACCCACCTTGTTCTGTGCCACTTCCTAGTGGTCAGCACACATCAAAGCGAGTGATCAAATTCCCAGTCTCCCAGTTGAACTCCCAAGGGGACACTTTGCATATTAGCCTTTTTATCCTATATAATAAAAGCTGAATATGCAAATCGACCAAACAGCAGAACGACTGGAGGAACAATCACTCCCAATGATGCATACTAATCATCAGGGGACAGATACTCAACGCAAGAGCTGCCCCCAGCCCGCAGACCCCAGGCCAGCCAAGGTGGGGCCCCCCAATTGCCTCGCCAGTCTCCCCACAGAGGGAGGTGACCAGCAGCAGCGGGAGGGGGCAGGGCCAGTGCCCCCCTCCGCGATTGCCTCACTGGTTACCTCACAGATGGGCCCTAATTGTTGGCCAGGTTTAGGAACCCTACCTGTGCATGAATTTCATGCACTGGGCCTCTAGTCCTATCTAATAAAAGTGTAATATGCAAATTGACCATCACTCCAACACACAAGATGGCCGCCCCCATGTGGTCAAAGATGGCTGCCCCCATGTGGACACAAGATGGCCAGTAGGGGAGGGCAGTTGTGGCCAATCAGGCTAGCAGGGAGGGCAGTTAGGGGTAACCGGGCAGGCAGAGAAGGGCAGTTGGGAGGGACCAGGCCTGCAGGGGAAGGCAGTTGGGGGGGGAGGGCAGGCCTGCAGGGAAGGGCAAATAGGGGTGACCAGGCCAACAAGGGGGGGGCAGTTATGGGTGACCAGGCCAGCAGGGGAGGGAAGTTGAGGGGGGAACAGGTCTGCAGGAGAGAGCATTTGGGGGCAACCAGGCCTACAGGGGAGGGCAGTTAGGGGTGACGAGGCCGGCAGGGAAGAGAGTTGGGGGTGACCAGGCCTGCAGGGGAAGACAGTTAGGAGCACTTAGGCATGGATCAGGCTGGCAGGGAAGTGGTTGGGTGGTGATCAGGTTGGCAGGCAGATGAGCTGTTGGGAGCCAGCAGTCCTAGATTGTAAAACGGATGCATGACTGCCCATCAGGATTGGGCCTAAACAGGCAGTTGGACATCCCTTGAGGGGTCCCAGATTGGAGAGGGTGCAGACAGGGCTGAGGGACACCCTCCCTCCCCGCCATGCATGAATTTTGTATACCAGGCTTCTAGTATATATATACATATATATATAAAAGAATAGAGAGAAGTTCCTTTCAGGATTTATAAAGTTTTTCTTAAGATTTTTAGTTGAAAATCCTTAAGATTTTTAGTTGAAAAACTGGGATGTACATTAATCAACTTTTCTGTGGGCAATTTGTCAAAATTATCAAGAACCTTAAAAATGTTAAAAACTCTTTGAGCCTATAATCTCACTTCCAATCATCTATACAAAAGAAATAATAGATATGTGGTCAAAATTTTGTACAAAAGTCTTAATCACCATGTTATTTATACTTTTTTAAAAACAGGAAATAGCCCTGGCAGGTTGTTCAGTGGTTATAGCATGAGCCCGCAGGCCTAAGGGTTGTGGATTTGATCCCAGGCCCTGGTCGGGGCACATACAGGAGGCAACTAATCGATGTGTCTCTCTCACCACCCTCCTCCCTACCTTCCACTCTGTCTAAAAATCAATGAAAAAAAATATCCTCGGGGTGAGGATTAAAAAAGAATAATAAATAAATAAAATAGGCCCAGCTATCATGGCTCACTGGTTGAGCATCGACCTATAAACCAAGAAGTCACAGTTCGATTCTTGGTCCAGGCACATGCCCAGGTTGTGGGCTCAATTCCCAGTGTGGGGCATGTAAGAGGCAGCCAATAAATGATTCTCTCTCATCATTGATGTTTCTATCTCTCTCTCTCTCTTCCTCTCTGAAATCATAAAGATATTTAAAAAAAAAAAAACAGGAAACAGTCTAAATGCTCAGTAAGAAAGGAATAGCTAAAGTTTATGTATATATGTATACTGTGGGTTATTATGCAGCCATTAAAAATGTTTTCAAAGAATAAATGATGGAGGAAGTGTGCACAAAATATAAGTGAAAGCAGGACATGAAACTTTTCATATGCTATGGTCCCAATTAAAAAAAATTAAGCATAGTCATATGCATAGGAAAGACTAGAAGTGTATATAACAGAACGTTAATGATTATTTAAGGGCAGTGAGACTATAGATAATATTTATTTAGTTCTTTTTCATTGCTGTACTTTCCAAATTTTTTACTGTATTCATCACTTTGTTTTGGGTTTTGTTGGGGGAGATTTTGATGGCTTTTTAAAGAAAACAAAGTTAGTGTTTAAATTTCAGCTTTTAGCTCAATTTAAGTCCACTTCTTTGTTATGTAAATGGTAATTTAGCTCACTGGATTTTTCTTCTGTATCTCACCTTTTGGGATAAAGGCCAAATTATGAAGCAAAAATGCTGATATAAAATATACCAGGACACAACTCCCAAGGGATACTCTGGAGTCGACACACATTCTGCCCAATCTATTTTTCTTTATACATCCAAAGTCTTGGACAAGAAATTCATACACAGGATGATGGTCCCAAGGCTCTATACTATTCTCAGTTATCAAAGAAAATTTGATTATGGTCTCTAATTGACTATTATGGTTCTTAAAACAAAGTATAGCCTTTATTTGGAGTTATTGGTCAGTCAGTATAATCTAGTAAATATAATTGAATCTCCTTGCTGAATGAAGATCTTAACAGGGCCCCAGAGTCATCATTCTGAACATCAATTTTAATTATCTAGGCTCCCCTTCATTCCCTCTATGGGCATGGCCATTACATGCCTTTGACATGACCTTCAGATTCACCCATTCTATTTTGTTGTTGCTATTCTCATTTGAGGATATTTTCCCCATTGCTTTGCACAGAGTGGGAGGAGAGAGAGAGAGAGAGAGAGAGAGAGAGAGAGAGAGAGAGAGAGAGAGAGAGAGAGAGAGAGAAACATTGATGTGAGAGGAGGGACACATCAATCAGTTGCCTCCCGCAATTGCCCCAACAGGGGATGAGGAGTGAACATGCAACCCAGGTATGTGCCCTTGACCTGGAATCCAACCCTCGACTCTGTGTTGTGCAGGCTGACTTTATAACCACTGAGGCACACCAACCAGGGCAGATTCACTCACTCTTGTATTTTGATTTTCATTTCCCTAGGACAGACCCTTCTCTCCTCACTTTTAGACTACAGTTAAGTCTTTTGGATTCTAGATATCTCTACTCCCCTGCTTCCTCATACTACTTTCAAAAAAGCATTCTTGAATCCCTGCTTTTTCAGCATGTCATCCATCTCATTAAGAAATTATGTTAGGCTTCTTCTGCATGTGGCATCAAATAAAAAGTTTTGTCTGCCGTAATTTTACCTCACTCAACCTCGTTTCAAACTACTCAGCTACCCCTGGTTCATTCCCTCTGTACCTTTGGTCCTGCTAGTTCACGCTTCCCTACAGAATCAGTTGCCCCTCTTTACTCTACCTAGACCTTGCTCATTCTTCAGAGACTCGGTTCATATCTCCACCTTCTTCCTAAAATCTTCTCCACCTCTTCAATTCTCTTTCCTAGGCATTTCTAGTGCACTTTGAGTCCATACCACACCATTCAGAATATATTTATTTGTTCTCTAGATGTTTCATCATTGCTCTTGGCATCTCTCTGGCTAAACGGTAAGCTGTTTTTTTCTGCATCCAATCACTTATCAATATGGTTGTCGTCGAAACTGTCAGCATTATCAACAAGCAGTTTTGGCCTGAGCTACCAAAAGTACAAGCAGTCTGGCATCCTAGGTATCTGCCAAGGAGAATTCAGAGACAACATTCAACCCTGATTATGCAAAAAACTTAAGTCCTTGAAGACTGATTTGCTTTGGCATGCAGAGCCAGAAAAGATTTTCATTTCTTCCACTGCTGTGGTCCTCTGAGCAGGAAGAAAGCGAGAGAAGGCCAGGAAAGGAATGGAGGTCAGTGGGAAGAGTTCGGGTATAGCACAAGAACATCCTGATCTCTAACTCTTGCCTCTGAGTAAGGCTGAATCCCTACCAGCCTTCAAGCATGTGGCAGATGCTTTACCACCATGAGCTCAGGATTCTAAAAATACCTGACACTGGCAAGAACAGGGGTGGGAGTGTGTGATTTTTTTTTTTTTTTTTTTTTTTTTGCTTCAAAATTGTGTACACCACCCAAGCTGCCGGAACTACAGGGAGGGCCCTCTCTGCTGGAGACCAACTCTGCCTTTTCAATGTTACAGGGAGCCTTGAAGTTTTTATTTGGAGACTCGGAATTTGAACTGGAGGCACTGCTCTCATTCTATATAAACCCCACTCTAAACTCTATGAAGCCCTGTTTGTGGTGGGAAGTGAGCCAGGAAGCAGGCTGCTCACAGCAGAAAAATCAGAAAAGCCATCACAAAGGAAGAGCACAGTAGTCAGGCTCACTGGACACACAAATGACCTCATTTTTGTTTGGAAATTTGATGTTCCTATTCTTCTCAACATCCTTACTGGTATAAGCCCCTGGCACCTCCTTCCTCTTTTGCAGCTGGCAATCCTCTCATCCATCCTTCATTTCCTGTGGGCACTGTATCCACATGGTGACCCTGAGGGGACAACTGCCCCTTAGCCACATACATGCCCCTTAGCCACATACATGCTCCTCTGGATTTTCTCTCCAAAGATCAGTGGGGAGTAATGTAGTCAAACAAACTTGGATGCAAATCT